TCAAGCAGATTCTTCTTGTCTCAGCCATATTTATTCACTCACACATGTCCGTGGCACTGGGGGGAACTTCTCGAAAGAAGTCGCCTCCACAGGTTATGTAAATATTAACTGTATACATCAAATTACTCATTTATGTTTTATGCATTTTTATTAATTTTTAGATCAGTTTCTTTTGAATTCAAAAGGATGAGTAAGGATTAGTTCCTTTTTTTCAGGAACTCACAGTCAAGTACAGAACACTGACAAGAAAACAAGTAATTGCAGTATGTTGTGATAATATGTGTGAAGTGCTGTGCTGTGTGACTCATAGAAGGGGGCACCTCACTAGATGCCCACACAGTTAAAGCAAGGCCTCCCAGAAGAGGCAGCCAGGCATTCTAGAAACAGCATGACTTTTATTTATTTTTTAAAGATATTTAAAAGATTGTATTTATTTATCTTTAGAGGGGAGGGGAAGGAGAGAGGGAGAGAAATATCAATGTATGGTTGCCTCTTGTGGGTCCCCTGCTGGGAACTGGCCTGCAACCCAGGCATGTGCCCTGCAACCCAGGCATATGCCCTGATTGGGAATTGAACCACGATCCTTTGGTTTGCAGGCCTGCGCTCAATCCACTGAACTACACCAGCCAGGGAACAGCATGACTCTTAAAATTATACTAAGTTTGAGTCAACCCTCATACTATCGCTTACTAATATTAGTCAGTTTACTAAATTTCTGTGAGCTTCAGTTTTTTCAATATATAAAATACAGTTCATTTTTTGTGGTATTGTTTTAAAGATTATAAAGTAAGTAAAGCATCTAGCATAGTATTTTTGAATTGCAAGTATTCCTACAAATGAATAGTGATTGCTTTATTGTTTTCATTAGTGTTATTGTGTTATTTATTATAATTAACATGAGTTGATTAATTAATCAGAATTAATGAGGTACAGAATAGGTTAAATGGACATAGGCTACGTGAGAAAGACTGTCAAAGCAAAAGAGGTCTAATAATCTGGAAGAATAGAGAAGGATATCTGAGTTTTTAATTTACTCTTTATTGAAACATAACTTTCCTATAGTTAAGTACACATCTTTTTCAGTATGTATAGATATATGTAAGTACTTCCCAATTCCCAGAACACTCTCTCATGCCCCTCCTAGTCAATTTCTCCTTCAACAAAGGTAAACCACTGTTCCAACATCTAACACCGTAGGTTAGATTTGCCAGTTCCTGAATTTTATATAAATGGAATCATTCAGTGTTTGTTTTTTCTTTTCTTGTTTTTTTTTGAAGGGGTGAGGTGGCTTCTTTCACTCAGTATTATGTCTGTTGTTTTGTGTAGTAGTAATTGCTTATATTCTATGTCTGTAACATTCCATTGTGTGAATAGAATTGTGTTTAATTTATTCTACCATTAATGGCTGTTTAGGTTGGCTTCAGATTTGGGTGCTTATGAATAAAACTACCATGAACATTCTTATACCTATCTTTCAGTGAACATACACACTCATTTCTGTTAGGTGTATCTAGGGTCAGAACTGCTGTATATTAGAGTGTATACATCCAGCTTTACTAGACCTGTCAGTAGTTTTACACAGTGGTTATGCCCCTTTACGTTCCCACCAGTAAGGAATAGAGTTCAGTTACTCCACATTCTTACCTGTACTTGGTGTTAGTCCTTTTAGTTTTAGCCATTTTGATGGAGTAACAGGTTTCTATCTCATTGTGGCAGTGGGGAGAGGATAGTAGGAAAGGAATTTACTACCTAAAATCACTAACAAGCAAACTTGGTGAAAAGTTGTGATCTGAAACTATTCTGCATTATCAGTGATGGTCAATAATGTATTGTAGACTTTAGGATTTTATCTGTATCACTTTTTAAAATAAAGAAGTAATTTTAAAGTAATCTTAAGTTTCCACATATGGTGGAAAATGAAAAGCTTAACAAATATTTTGTCAGAGTCCTTTTGGCTTCTAACAAATACACTTTTGGAACTGACTTTTTAAAATAAAAACTGTTTTGCACATTTTTTAGGAAACCAACTTTTTAAAGTATATTTTATTGATTATGCTTAACAGTTTTCCCAATTTCCCCCCTCGATCCTCCGTCCACCCTGCACCCCACATCCTTCCAGCATCCCCACTTAGTTCATGTCCATGGGTCGTACCTGTAAGTGCTTTGAATTCTCTGTTTCCTATACCATTTTTGACCTCTCTCTATCTATTTCATGCCTACCAGTTATGCTTCTTCTTCCTTGTACCTTTTCTCCCCTATTCCTCCCCTCTCTCTCCCTACTAAAAACCCTCCATGTGATCTCCATTTCTCTCATTCTGTTCCTGTTGTAGTTGTTTGCTTAGTTTTTGTTTTCATTGTTTTTATTGGGGGGGTTCATTTGTTGATAGTTGTGAGTTTGTTGTCATTTTACTGTTCATAGTTTTTGATCTTCATCTTTTTCTTAGATAAGTCCCTTTAACATTTCATATAATAAGGACTGGGTGATGATGAACTCTGTCAACTTGTTCTTATCTGGGAAGTACTTTATCTGCCCTTCCATTCTAAATGATAGCTTTGCAGGATAGAGTAATCTTGGATGTAGGTCCTTGCCTTTCAAGACTTCAAATGCTTCTTTCTAGCCCCTTCTTGCCTGCAAGGTTTCTTTTGAGAAATCAGCTGATGGTCTTGTGGGTACTCCTTTGTAAGTAACTCTTCTTTTCTCTTGCTGCTTTTAAGATTCTCTATCTTTAATCTTGGGTAACTTAATGATGATGTACCTTGATGTGTTCCATTTTGGGTATAACTTCTTTGGGACTCTCTGGGCTTCCTGGATTTCCTGGAAGTCTGTTTCCTTTGCCAGTCCAGGGAAGTTTTCCTTTATTATTTGTTCAAATAAGTTTTCAATTTCTTGCTATTGTTCTTCTCCTCCTGGCACCCCTATAATTCAGATATTGGAATGTTTATAGTTGTCCCAGAGGTTCCTCAGCCTCTCCATTTTTTAAAATTATTTTTTCTTCATTCTGTTCCAGTTGGATGTTTATTTCTTCCTTTTGTTCCAAATTATTGATTTGAGTCCTCATGGGAAAACAACTTTATCCAGAGTAAAGAGAGTTCCCTAGTGTGATATTTTGCTTTCCTTGGAATTACCCTTGAAAACTTAGTGCTCAATATGGCAATATTTTCTTTTTAAGGCCTTTGAACATTTTTATATGTTCTTTGTATTTTATGGTTATAACCTACTTATTTGCCCTTAGTTGAAACTCAAAGCATTTGACCAGACTTAGAAACCATTTTTGCTTTATGCCTCAACAACTTTAAATAACTTTGAAGTCATCAGGGCCATTATTTTTAAATAAGTATGTGATTTCCAAGTTTGAGGTATAGAACATTTCTTAAAATGTGATTTATTTTTTTGTTTTTAAAGATAATATACAACCCAGGTTTATGAATGTTCTTTTCCAACATTTGAAACTTCCCATGAGACATATTTTCATGTTAAGAAAAGTTTATTTGAACTTGAAACTTGTAGTTTTTTAAAAAATTTATTGTTCTCCTCTTATAATAATATGTGAATGTAGATATAGTGAAGAGGTATTTTATTAATCTAATAAATTAATTTGTCGAGATTCAGCTAAATACAAAACTTTACTAGAGAAATTGATGTAAACATCTATTTTTGTGAGAATAAAAGTAGACATCATTTTTAAATTTACAATATATACTTTTAGAAAATCCTTGTGCTCTTGTACATATATTTAGAAGGTCTTTGAAGTACTTTATATTAGTTTCTTAGTATTGAGAATTACTGATTACAAGTATTTTATTCTGAATAAATATTTTAGAATTTTTAAACTGAATTATGTATGTTTGGTTTACTTTACACTAAAGATTCAAATTCTGGTAAGTTTTTACTTCATATTGCATGTTGCATTTATGAAGCAGGTTTTTTTCTTCTCCCCTGTTGGGGTTGAGTGATCATTCTTCTTACCAGAGGGATGGGAATGGGGTGGGAGTTGGAGATTCCTTATTTATAATTACAGAAAAATTCAATAAATTTTTGATATAGGAAAATTGAATGGATTTGGTTTTTATCTGGTATAAACCAAATACAGAATAAATGGTATCACTGATATGCTAGAAATGATTTTTTAGTATTTCTAATATAGGCTTTTATTGGACTTAGAACAAATAATTTTAGGGAAGAGTTAGTATTACCCTCAAAAGTAGAAAGAACTTCATTAAAATGAGTACAGCTCCTTTTGTGCCTGTCACATAAATCTCAGTATTAACATTTCTCTAAGTGTACTCTTACAAGATTAATTTGTTAACTACTTTTGGCAAAGTGTTGCATTAATGTGTTAATTATATTGATTAAAAGGTTGTGCATGTTTATCCCAGTACATTCATGTATTTTAGATTCATCTTTTTAGAATTTACCTAGCAGTAGTCAGGGACATTAATAATAAGGGCCATTATTAATTGAATGTATACTGTGGTGTAGAATATTATGCCAAGTGCTTTGTGTGCATTCTCATTTAATTCTCACAATAAGCACATTGTTAGATTTGTTTAAGTCTGTTCCTCAATTAAGATTTATTGTCCTGGTCATCTTTTATCACCAATTCTGGAATTGTTTTCCAGTTTAGCAAGAGGTGTGAAAAGTATGTTGGATTGGTTTATCAGGATTCTTTGTTAGGAAACTGCTCACGAGAAGACTGAATGCTCCCTGGGGCCTGCATTAATGCTAAGTACTCAATGAGTAGAGAAAGGTATTTAGCTTGATGTTGGTGGATTCAGGGATGTACTTCATTGCCTTGGAAGGCCTTAGTCTATTCTAAAGAATTATTGTACTAGAAATCTTTAAACTTAGAATAGTTTAAAACCACATTTTTGGTCTAGGTTTCTTGTACTGACGTACATCAAATGTATATTTGAAATTGAATGACTTACCTGCTTTTGCTTTTTAATGCTTACATATCTTCAGTAGTACCAATACTGATATAATCACAATGTTTTTAAAGGTTTTGAAAGAGGAAGGGAAGACATCTCTCAAAATAAAGATGACTCTTCACTTCCTATGTCAAAGAGCAAGGTAAGCATATTATCTTCCCCAAATATATGATTACAAAATTTTTCTAATATACAAGATGAGGGAACTAACACTATAATCCTGTCAGATTTTTATGAGATGGTCTTATATTGGTATATCTAAACCAGGTAGTATGTATGAAAAAAGGAAAGTTTCACTGGGGCTGATTTAATGCTGTTGTTTACTTGCAAATATAGCCTATTGGTAATAACCAGTATCCTCTGTAGAGTTATATTGTTTCTGATGTGGTTGCTACAGCAGTACTCCTCAAACTGAAGCTTGAGAGTTTCCCACCTTCCAAGAAATTCTCAGAGTTAATGGTTAAAAAAAAAAACTTAAGTATTAGCAGTTCATTTGAATGACAGTCAAAATGTGTACATCTTACAAAAGGCCAAAGATGTCTTTCTTAGAAAAAAGTATAGTTCCCTAAATTAATATTTCTCAAACTGGGATACTTGTATATGTTCTTAGGTCTATTAGGATTTGTTTTTTCTTTCAAAGTACGTGTTGAGAAATACTATATGATGCCTTGGCTTTCCTCTGGGTTTGTAATTCACTAAATTTCCATAATATAAAGGGATTTGGTTTTTGCCTTTTATTTCTGGTCAGGTTTAATAGCAGGAGAAACTTTTTATGTTTGTGGATTTGAGTCAGTGATATGAAGTAAGAAAACCTATTTTTTAAGCTTGTAAATTCTCTGTTATTCTCAGCAATAGGGTTTGCTTTAAAAACTATGTTTTTTGTTCCTGTTCTTGGGAGCAGTTGAGAAGATGCCATGATATCTTTCAATCTATAATTTTACACAAATTTTATTTACACTTAATTTTCAGGTATTCATTATATAAAGATCTATCCATCAAATGTGTAAAAGTACTTAGGATGGAAGTACTAAATATATGGATGTATATTTTATATGTAGCTATACATGAGAAATGCCTTGATCATTTTATATAAGATGTGTAATTAAAACTGTAGAGTAAATAAGTATCTTGGGTCTGCCATGGCTAATGATAGAATGCAATCTGTGGTATAATGGTATCCCTTCCTATTCAGAAGTCTAAGCACTTAAACCCCAGATCTACATACCACTGCTTCCGATATGTATGTAGTCTTTGAGTGGGAGGTGGGTGGGTGTGGGGTGGACGGGGAAATGGGGAGGCCAAAAAGAAAGTTTACATACCTTACTGAAACAGTGTGCTTTGGAACTGCCCTTTGAGTACAGCAGCACCTAGTCATATGTGACTCTTTAAATTTAAATTAAATAAAATTAGAAATTCAATTTCTCAGTTACATTAGCCATCTCAAGTGCTCAAACAGCCACATATGACTTGTGACTACCATATTGGACAACTCAGATATAGGACATTTCTGTCATTCAGAGAGCTCTACTAGACAACATTGCTTTAGAGTAAAAAAAAGTGAGTTAGAATCTTGACTTCATTATTATGATTGTGGTCAGTAAGGTTATAAAAGAAGGAAAACTTAGTAAAATATTCCCAACAAGAATAGTTTATGGTTTTTGGTATTTAAAAGGTAACCTGTTCATTCTGAAAACTTAGTAATTTATTTTTTTATTTAATCTTTATTATATTTTTTTCCATTACCATTTAGTCCCCTTATGCCCCACTCCCCCGAGCAATCACCACACTGTTGTCCATGTCTATGAGTCCTTTTCCCTTTTGCTCAGTCCCTCCATCTCCTAACCTTTCTCTGTCCCCCCAGCTGTCTTCCTGTTCTCCATCTATGAGTCTGTCCCCATTTTCCTTTTTAGTTCATTTTGTTCATTAGATTCCAAATATGAGTGAAATCATATAGTATTTGTCTTTCTCTGACTGGCTTATTTCACTTAGCCTAATGTTCTCCATCCACACTTTCACAAAAGGTAACATAGGGTAATATTTTCTTCTTTTTTACAGATGAATAATATTCCATTGTGTAGTTGTTTTATCTATTCATCTACTGATGGACACTTGGGATACTTCCATATCTTGGTGATTATAAATAACACTGCAGTGAACATAAGGGCACTTATGTTCTTTTGAATAGTGTTTTGGGTTCCTTTGGATATATCCCCAGAAGTGGAATCACTGGTTCAAACAGCAGATCCATTTTTAATTTTTTGAGGTATCTCCATACTGCTTTCCATAGTGGTTGCACCAATCTGCATTCTTACCAACAGTAGGAATGCTTCTTCCCCATCCTTGTTAGCACTTGTTGTTTGTTGATTTATTGATGACAGGCATTCTAACGGATGTAAGATGATGTCTCATTGTGGTTTTAATTTGCATTTCTCTGATGATTAGTGACCTTGAGCATCTTTTCATATATCTATTGGCCGTCTGTATGTCCTCTTTGGAGAAGTATCTATTCAGTTCCTTTGTCATTTTTAATTAGGAGTTTTTTTGGTGTTGAATTTTGTAAATCTTTATAAATTTTGGATTTTGACTCCTTATCAGATGTAACAGCAAATATGCTTTCCCATTCTGTGGGTAGTCTTTTTAATTTTGTTAATGTTTTCCTTGGCTGTGCAAAACTTTTTAGTTTGATGTATTCCCATTTGTTTATTTTTTCTTTGGTTTCCCTTGCCTGGGGAAGATATATCCAATAAAATAATTGCTATGAGCAATGTTCAAGATTTTGCTGCCTATGTTCTCTTCTAGGATTTTTATGGTTTAGGGTCTAATATTTAATTTGTTGATCCATGTTGAATTTATTCTTGTGTGTGTTGTAAGAAGGTAGTCTAGTTTCATTTTTCTGGATGTATGTGTCCAGTTTTCCCCAAACAATTTATTGAATAAACTATCTTTAGCCCACTGTATGTACTTGCTTCCTTTGTTGAGTGTTAATTGACTGTAAAGATGTGGCTTTATTTCTGGGCTCTCTATTCTGCTCATTTGATCTATGTGTCTGTTTTTATGCCAGTACCATATTGTTTTGATTACTATGGCTTTATAGTATAATTTGATATTGGGCACTGTGAAATATGTCATGATTTTTGGTATTTGAATTTTGTTAGAAATGGTGCTGAATCAGTATATTGCTTTGGGTAGAATGGACATTTTAATGATGTTAATTTTCCCTATTAACATGGTATGTGCTTCCACTTAACTTCCATCTTCTATTTATTTTTCAATATCTTATGATTTTCTGAGTACAGGTTTTTTACATCCTTGGTTAGGTTTATTTCTAAGTATTTTATTCTTTTTGTAGCAATTGTAAATGGGATTGTTTTCTTAATTTCTTTTTCTGTTAGTTCATTATTAGCATATAAAATGCAGCTGATTTCTGGATATTAATTTTGTATCCTGATACTTTGTTGAATTCATTTATCAGTTCTCACAGTTTCTTGGTAGAATCTTTGGGGTTCTCTGTGTACAGTATCATGCCATCTACAAATAATGACAGCTTTACTTCTTCCTTTCCAATTTGGATGCCTTTTATTTCTTCTTGTCTGATTGATGTGGCTAGGACCTCTAGTACTATGTTGCATAAGAGAGGTAAAAGTGGACATCCCTGTCTTGTTCTGGATCTTAAGAGGAACACTTATAATTTGCCTGTCTATATGATGCCGGCAGTGGATTCGTCATATATGGCCTTTATTTTGTTTAAGTATGTTCCCTCTATTTCCACTTTGCTAAGTTTTTATCATAAATGAGTGCTGGATTTTATGAAGTGCTTTTTCTGCATCTCTTGATATGACCATATGGTTTTTAGCCTTCATTTTTTATTAGTCATTTAGTTTAAAATACTATACAACTCTGGGTCACTAGATCCTTTTTGTTAATTTTTTTTCCCAGAAGTAGCTATATACAATTTGGTAGGGATTTCTTGAAGTATATGTACTCTAATTTATCAAGCTCAAATGACACCCTTCTGGCCTGCTGGTCTCTTATATACTTGAATCTTTTAGGAACTACCTACCCAGATCTTTTCATGTCTAGGAAACAGATTTCCTATTGCTCATGAAGATAAGTCTTATATCTGAGTCCGATTGAGATTATATATGAATAGTTTTAAAAGGTGAGAAATCAATATAGTGAGATGGCTAAGAGCATGAGACTGGGAATTAGACTAGAGTACAAATCCAGCTTATCTGTTTATTCGCTTTGTGTGATTTTAGGAAGTCAGTTATTTAATCTATTTGTTTTCATTTCCTTATTAGCAAAAGGGGGATGCTACTGCTATCTCATGGGGTTGCTTTGAGGATTAAATGAGGTAGTGCACATAAAGTGTTTAGCATAGTACTTGGTAAAGAGTAAAAAGCCATTAATTTCCATTAACTTTTAAACTAATACTATAAATATTTGTAATTTAATAGTATTTAAGAAGTATGTTATATTATAAATTTTCTCATTAAGCCATGGAACATAGAAATTAATCTACAGTGTACATACTGTAGATTAATTTGTTGGTTACTTATTACTTTTTTTGGTTGTGGGTTTAATGTGAATTAATTTTTAAATCCTAATACTATACTACATGGAAAAAATTAGTATTTGAAAATCAACATTTGCCTAAATAACAGCAATAAATGGGAAGAATATCACAAGCATAGCTTGAACATTAATATTTTTATGTCATGTGTGTAGAATAAATGAAGGTTTTTAATTTTGTGTTCATTTTTATGTGATTTTAGTCTGAATCTAAACTTTATAATGGCTCGGATAGGGACAGTTCAACTTCAAGCAAGCTCACGAAAAAAGAATCTCTCAAGGTTAGTTTCCAAAGTTATTTCATGACTAACACAATGCTTTACATGTGCTTTTGAAAGTAGGCTAATAAAATAAATAAAGTGTCTTCCTGAAAGAAGAAAAAAAATCCAGGCAGGCACAGATAAAAAATATCAGTATTTGTACAACATTCTGGAGTCAACTGAAAAGGCTGCATAATGACCACCCCAGAGCTCCTCCATGCCTTAAGTGGCCACTGCTGGAGCTGAGGACCAGCTATGTCTGCAGAGCTGTGCTCTCATCATTTATACCACTGGGTTGTGGGGCACCTGATGGGCAGCTCTGGTGCACTTTGAAATTTGAGATTACCAACTGCTAGGTCATGCATGGGCTGAATTTGGCTCATGGGTAGATGTATATAGTAAGTCTTCACCTAACACTGTCAGTAGATTCTTGAAACTGTGATGCATGATGTATGACAAAACTAGTTTTACCATAAGCTAATTAATATAAACAAGAGTTAAATTCCTACAGCATGTCATCACCATCATAACAAAACAGTGCTGAACAAAATGTTATTTGAGGACCCGCTGTATTTTGTTTTACCTACACAGTGTTTTGAAAATTCAGCAATCACTAGTTCAGATTTCCAGGTTCTCTTAAGAAATGTGCAATATGGGGGCTGCCTTCCAGATTGGCCACTGATCCTACAGCCTAAGGAACACATGCTTTCCAATGACTCTGATCCTTGTGTAGTCTCTTTTACCCCTTCCCACTCCATATCTCATTTTGTATGCATTTGCAATTTCATAATAAATCTACTGTTAATTCAGATATGCATGATAATAAAGACCAAAAGTCTACAGTGTTTTGGCTGTGGAGTTATTAAAATCTTGTTATTTGTATGCAGTCTCATTACCATTAAGTGAAAGTAGGAAGATTTTATATTAGAGTTCAAAAGTATATATATCACATAGGTTACCACCACTCTTCTCCCATTCATGTAATAACAACAAAGCAGTAATGAGACTACATTAATTCACTGCTACTTTCCCATATTATCTCAGAAGGTAAAACTTTGATATTTTGAATGAATTAATTTCTTTGTTGTAGTTTCTTAATTATTTCTTATAAGTCAGGAAAGAGGAAAATTGGTCATTGTAAACAATTGCTGCATTGTTCATAATATGAAAAAACTGCTAATGGTAGATTTCCATCAGTATGAGAATATTAATATATTAAGAAAAATTTAGACTCAATATAGCATGGTGGTTAAGAGCATGTATTTTAGGGCCAGTCTGCTTCTGTTTGAATCCTGCCTCCATGACTTACTAGCTATGTGATCCTGGGCAAGCTACTACCTGTGCCTCAGTTTTCTCTTTGTAAATTAAGGATACTAGTAGTCCTACTTCCCAAGATTATTGTAAAGGTTAAATGAGATAATATGTGTAAAGTGCTTAGAACTGTTACTGGTACACAGAATGTACCTAGTAAATGTTAGCTCTTATTATTTATACTAGAAATTCTATGTAGCAGTTTAAAAAATGAGGTGGTCATGAAAATGATCCAAAAAATATTGAATGGGAGAAAAAAATTTAGTATGCTTATAAACTCAAAAAAGGAGAAACTATATATTTTTATAGGTTTTATACATAGCAAAGGCCTGAAAAGATACTGTTTTCAGAAAGATTAACTGTGGTCAGTTCTGTGGATTGGAATAAGATAGGGTATAATAAAGATGGCATTTTAGCTTTATTTGTGTTGTTTAAAATTTTTTACCATGAGATTATATTTATGTATTGTGTAATTTTAAAAATCTAAATTTCTTTTAAAAGATACAGAAAACTGGACTAGTGATCAGGAAAAACACAGCTTTTAACCTTACTTCTCTAAAAATTTCTACCAGTTCTCAAGAAAAAAGCAGAAGCAAACAAAAAATAGTTCTTTTATCCTGAGATGGTAAATTTCTAAAAGAGGGTTAGAATTTTATCGTCTATATTTCATATGTGTAAAATTTTTGAAGAGAAATTACTCATTTCTAATGAATTTTTAATTTTTCTATTATTTCTGTAAAATAGGTGCAAAAGAAAAATTATCGAGAAGAAAAGAGCCACAAAGGAGTTACTCAGTACAATCACAGATCCTTCTGTTATTGTTATGGCTGACTGGTTGAAGGTCAGTTTGTATAGAATCTTTACCTACTGGAATAGGAGAGCCCAGAGTGCACTAAAGCCTACAAGACATAAATAACTACTAGCTTGATTGTTTTCACCGACAAACTATTAATTGTATCCCAGAGGTTCTCTGTTGCAATCTTAGTGAGAAAGAACCTTAATGTTGTCTCTCTTAACACAACATCAGGTACGCATAGCAGTTGTTTTAAAAAGGCTTTTTGATTTTTATGACATTATGTAGTCTAATCAATATGCTGTAAAGTAATTTTAGCTTGCTTTTAAAATTATTATTTAGTATCATTGTAGACTTGGTGTATACATTATTGAGAAGATATGAGACAAAGTTAATACTAAAAGTATCATTTGAAAAGGATTAGTGTTCAAAGAAATGTACATGTTGCTGTTCCTATACCTTACCTTTTTGGCGTCTGGTTATTCCCACTTATTTTTATTTCTTTTTTTATCATCTCCGTCACTCTGTCCTCTTTCTTGTTCTTTTCTGAAGAATGTTTGGTAGTAATCTTTCAGGCTAAGGCTAACTTTAAGGATCATTTTGTAAAGACCCTGCCTCCCAAGAAGTTTCAATACCTAGCATTGACCTAAAAATTACCCCAGCCCTGGAAGCCTTTCACTTTTGCAAAGAGTTGGTACAGTCTCCAACCTAAAATCTTTATGAAATCTGTCATTGAAGTTCTCTTACTAACATTGGAAGAACTTAGTGATGGTTTCAAGTAATGCTAGGGTCTTCTTCAATGTTGTGCTGAAAACACCTTGTAATTTGGGCTCTGCTTTGAAGACTTTAAGCTACAGATCTTACTTGGGTTTTTCAGGGCTAAACCTACTCTTGTCTTTCAACATGGGATTTCCCAACCAACTCTCCAAAACTTCCCAACACATCCCCTGGCCGACTTTTTAAGTCTTACCTTCATTTTGATAATATGCCATCCATGTTTTACTATCACATCACCAAGATCCAGAATCTTATCTCAGAGTAACTCTCAACTCTCATCTTTCCATCTCTTTTACATATACACATACCTTTTCTTTAAGATTTTCTCTCTTTTTTTTTTTCATGCCTGGCTCCAAACTCCTCCTTTCTAATTTTTTCTTGTTTAGAGTTACTGTGGTATGCCTCTTTGGGGAGTTTGGGAGCCCTATATATATTTAATAATTTCTATAAGTGCATTGGTAGAATAGCTGTTTTACAGTAAATAAAACTGAGAACAATTCCTGGTTTTTAATCTCAGTATTACATTAGCATCTTTTTCAGTATTTTGAATTCAGTGACTTGCATAGAAACACTTTTAATGGATTACAGAGATAGAATAGGAAAAGCTAGCTATAGACTATTTTTGACATAGCATTAAACCCTAGGATGAGGAACATTTTATAAGGCTAGAGAAATTTATGTAACTTGTGTTTTAAATTTACCCAAGAGGTTTATATGACACACTCTATGTAATTACTTAGAATCATATAATTTAGAGAAGGTCATTATAGGGATGGATGTTCTTCCTTCTCTCTACCACTCGCCAAATATTTAGGGAATGAATTCCTAGTGTGTGCTAACAGTGTTTTCAGTACTCTTTATGTAGTAGTAGGGGGGTAAAATCTTAAAAGGTAGAATAATCTTGCACTAACAGAAATAAAATTATAGCTATTTTAGATGCTAAGAGGCAAATCTTGATATCAGGAAAGTATATTTTAGTAGCACCCGACCTGACCTGGAAGGTTAGGAAAACAGTTTTACTTGGTATATAGTATTTTGAAACTACTGACCCAATTCTCCTGCTAGAATTTAAGATCCTCAGAAGCAGTATTCATACTACTTTTTAAACTATATTTTTATTGCTGACAGCATTACAGATGTCCCCCTTTGTCCACCTCCTTCCACCCCCTTCCCTCTGGACCTCACCACACTGTTGTCTGTGTCTGTGGGTTGTGCATATTTGTTCTTTGGCTACTCCCGTCACCTTCTTTCATCCAGTTACCCGAAGCCCCTCCCCGGTGACAGCCCTCATTCTGTTCCATGTATCCGTGCCTCTGTCTCTGTTATGTTTGGCAGATTTACTTTGTTCATTAGATTTTATATATAAGTGAGATCATAAGATATTTGTCTTTCACCAACTGGCTTATTTCACTTAGCATAATAATCTTCTAGTCAGTCCATGCTGTCACAAAAGGTAAGAGTTTCTTCTTTTTTTTTTTTTAATCAGTGCTTGTTATTTAGTCGCTTTAAAAAAGTATCCATTGACTCTAACTTGTTCATTTTTCTGGAAATTTTAGGTTAAAACATACTGTTTACCATTACTTTAGTTTGTATCTTGTGGAACACAAAGAGAAAAGCAGAGCTTTATTTCTTAAATTCATTTTCTATAGATTCGTGGTACTCTAAAGAGCTGGACCAAGTTGTGGTGTGTGTTGAAACCAGGAGTGCTACTGATCTATAAAACCCAAAAAAATGGTCAGTGGGTAGGAACTGTCCTTCTGAATGCCTGTGAAATAATTGAGCGGCCATCAAAAAAGGATGGCTTTTGTTTCAAACTTTTTCACCCTTTGGAGCAGTCTATTTGGGCCGTGAAGGTAAGCATTTGTTATATAGGTAAAAGGTAAAATGACAGTCTTTGAGTAGAACAGAGATAAATCAATCTAATGATTGCTCTTCTCTGCCAACACTTATAAATTTATTTTTGTTTTCAAGGGCATTGTTCCTCTGTCTCTACTCACAATGAAATGCGCACTAAAAGTCCTTTTTACCTTTAAGATCTAACTTAAAATTTTCTCCAGAAAATGTTTTTCTAATTTATATTGTACCTTATTATCTCTTGGCAATGGGGATTCAATTTGTACTTAAAAAAATGCAGTGAATAATCTTGCTTTGTAACACTGTATTGTGTTTACTATGTTTTTCTCTTTATCAAAATTATAAAATCGCCTAGAACAGAAGCTGCCATTTATTTTTTTGGTTTTTCCTGTAGTGATGTAAATATGTGCTAAGAAGAATCCTATAAGCAATCACAGTCCTACTTACTGTTGAGATGCAACTTTCTTCGAAGATGGAGCTCTAATGCTTTATCCGGGAGTGTCAACCTCATTTTCATGAGCGTAGGGTGGGGAGGGGGCACATCAACCTCTCAGTTGCCTTCAAAGGACCACATGTAATTTTAGGAACATATAAATGTAACTACTCCTTAATAGTTAAGCGAGAACTCAGTGCTGCTGCTGGGTAGAAACAAGGTGCCAGGCCAGATAAAACCAGGTGGAGGGCCCAGTTCGGCTCATGGGCATTGTGTTTACCACCTGTCCTTTATACCTAAAAAGCATTTCTGTAGTCACTCCTGTATTATAATAGCAGAAACTTAATCATGAAAGTAGAAATGCCTTGTTTGATTAACTACCAAGAAATTCTACAAATAGTAGATATGCTAATGAATAAAATGAGTCTGGTTTAAGTTTTTACAAAGCAATCAATGTTTTAATTTGAAAGGAGGTCAGTTACATTTGAATAAAGGGTTTAGGACTCCTTTAAGGAAAACCACCTAATTGAGATGAGGGCTAGGTAAAAGTAGGTTCAGCTTTTAAATACTTTTGGTACTCCTTAATTAGGCAATATACATATACCTAGGAAAAAACCTGGACTTTTTACCTTTATTTCAGTAGTCTGGAGTCAGAAGTAAATTTAGGATTACAGTTAGTTCCATACTGGAATTAGATAGTTCCCATGAGGGAAAGATTTTTAAGCCATACAACCTATGGTGTTTATATATAATGTGATTCTCAAGTGAGAGAATTTTATTTTCAAAACTTTTTATATATTGCATTCATTCTCTACTCCTTCTCTAAGGAATTTAAGACATTTGAAAAAATCATATTGATTTTTCTGTTACTTCATTTTGAATCTGCATCTTTACTTTTAAATGTTTATGTACTTATTAAAGTTCATTTTATTCCTTGATCTGACAACCAAAAAATTATTTTTTTCTATCAAAATTATACTATAAATTCAATCCTCAGATTTTGTTTTTAATTTTTATTTATTGGTTTGAGAGAGAAGGAAAGAGGGAGATAGAGATCTGTTGTTTCACTTGTTCATATATTCATTGGGTTATTCTTATATATTCCCTGACATCAGACCTGCAACCTTAGCATATCAGGGTGATGCTCTAACCAACAGAGCCACCCAGCCAGGACTTCTCAACACTCAGATTTTTTTTCTAGTTAAGATCCATGTCCACCTAAGGTAGCCTTGGTGATACTAATTACTGTAGAGCTCTTGGTGTCAAATACTTCTAAAGCAAATAACCCTGGCCAACAACAATAAAATTCCTTTTTCTTTCTTGTTCCTGGTTAAATAATATTAGCTTTTATAGTTGGTATTTATAAACAAGTATATCATTGGTTATAAAATGGATCTTTATTTTTTCCCTAGACCTAATAAAAAATTTTTTTTTCTTGTAAATTGTAACTACCATATATTTCTAGCTGTTTCTTTATGGGCTTCTAGAAATAAAGTATTTTTTTCTAGTAGTATATGTGGGGTAGAAATTCTCTGTTAAAGTACAATTTTATCTAGTATGGTAAAATTTAGGGAATTCCCTTTAATATGTAAACAATGTACAGAAATAATGTTTAGTGATAACTATAAGGTATTCAGTTTTTGATAAGGAGGTATATTTGTTGGAACAGGAAGACTTTCCTTAATACTCCACATTTACTTTCTCAATAAGCATGAAATTAAACCTTGTTTGCTTTTAAATTATAATCCATACCTAACTTAGATTGTTACCAATAATAATGGATAATACAAAGTTGAGATCTCATAAAACTATATGCCACTTATTTTGCTTATTTTTATTTTATTTGATTATTTTAAGGGTCCCAGGGGTGAAGCAGTGGGGTCCATAACTCAGCCCTTACCCAGCAGTTACTTGATCATCCGAGCTACTTCTGAGTCTGATGGTAAATACAGGTTTTAACGGATTGGATTTGGGTCTCATTTTTAGGGTTTATTTAATAAACCACTCTGTGTTTTCCTTTGGGGAAAAAATTGTCTTTAGTATGGTATTTGCAGCAGATGTGTTATAATCAGAAATTCCTTAGAACACCAAATATATTATTAACTTGGTAGACAACAGAGGAATCTGATAGGAAGGAAGCATTGGATAATTGAGTGGTAAATTAGCAGCCTAGAGTTTTCTTCTTAATCCTCCATTGACCTTTTAACATCTTTTTTGACTTGGTTGGTGTTCTCTATGGTAACTCATTAAGTTTTATTGTTTTAGAGGTACATTTAATACTACTTATATTGTACAACTAAGTATAAACATTTATAAAACACATACAACTGTTGTTAAGCTTTCTTAACCTAAGACATTTTTCTGTACTTCTTAACTTAATAGTTAATTCCTGAAGCAAATACAGGGAAAATAAAACTTATTTATTTCTAATCAAAGTAACTTTAAAACCTTAATAATTGATCATGGATTTCTGCCTCACTTTTATGTTTTATAGTTTAGACTAGCCTAGCCTAAGGAATCTGGTAACCTTCCAAAGTTTACTTTTACCAGATAATTATTTTTAAAATTAAAACATCATAAGCATGAGCTTTTGTTATGAAAGTATTTTATTTGGCTGATATTTCCAGCAGATGTTGAAACAAAATATGTATGAATTTTAAGTGAACTAATATTTTTTCTGCTAATTACAGTTCTAATTTTTAATTTAAAAAATAAGGTTACTAGTGTTTTTACTAACTAATAGGACAGTATTATACAGGCATTTTCCTGACTTAAAAAATTTTTCATACATATAAGTAAATGGATGCCAAACCTGGGAACAGACCTACTATCAACAACAAAGGATTGTTTTAGATAGTTTGTTTATAGTACAAATATAGTAATGCCTTCAGTATATTTTATGTGCCTATTTTGGTACTTTTAAATTATACAACATATTAATGTTCTAAGATTTTAAAAATAAAATACATGTATTTTCATTAGGTCTGTTTACCAATGTGTACTGTATTTTCTTCATTTACCAGTAGTTTTTAAATACTTCTTATAGTAGGTAAAATCACATGATAAACTGAAAAATTGGATTAAAAATCCTGGTATAAGACTTTATGCTCAAAATAACTTTTCCAGTGCATTTGTCTCAAAGAAATAATAGTGTGCTTAAAGGCTAACAGTGTTAAATTTAGATGGATGCTAGTTTTTGTAGTTTCTTGAATTATACTGCTTATGAATCTCTGCTCTTCTAGGAAGGTGCTGGATGGATGCTTTGGAGTTGGCTCTGAAATGTTCTAGTCTTCTTAAACGTACAATGATCAGGGAAGGAAAGGAACATGACCTAAGCATTTCATCGGAGAGCACACATGTGACTCTGTATGGCTTACTACGTGCTAACAATCTCCACAGTGGTGACAATTTCCAGTAAGTAGATATTACCCCTGATTTGGTGATTATTTTAGAGACCATGTTGTTCATTGGGTTAGCTGGCAGGCTTGGAATGTTTGTAGTGTATCTAGGATTGAAACTTAGCTGTCTTCTTACTATATGGCCTAAGACCTGGTTTAAGATTTGTTTAGTTACGGTGATAAGGTATAGAAAGTTATTTCCTTGATCCTGGCTAATGTAAGTTATTTGTTATTTCCCAAATGCAGCCAAGCTGTCTACCTTGTCTTTGGGCATGGTGTTCCCTTCATTAAGAATGATTTCTAGTTTTCCTTGGTCTTTTGTCTTATCACAAAACTATGTATTCTTAAAGAGCAATCTCAAATATCAGATCACATGTGAAGACTCTCATGCCTCTTAACCATGAAATAATATAATCTGCTCTTCTATTGCTGTTCTGTAGCACTTTTTTTTTATAATACCATCAGACTAATTCTTCCTTGTATTTGTGGAATTCTCCCACTATATTGTGTTTCAAGTTGGAATTGTCCCTTGTTGTGGTATTATTCCCTGAAGCATTTAATACTAACTGTTAGTAGTTAATACTAAAAAATATATTTCTCCAAGGGAAAGTAAAAAATATTCTTCAGGGAAACTCAGTACTTTGCTCAAGGTTCAGCTCTCTTTGTTGCTTTGTAGGAAAAACATTAGACTTTCTCTTTTCTTCCCTTGTCCCAATGTTCAGTGTGTGTTCTGCAGCCACTTACCACTGTCAGCATTGGGTTGCTGTCCTCAAACTTGTTAGACTGCTCCTCTCTTCCCTGTGACCTGAGATGACCATTTTGGGTTTTTTTTATCCTTTTGCTTGACTCTTTTTCTTCACTCTTTGAAAGCCTATATTTTCTGACCTTTTATATCCATTCTTTGCAAAATTATAATCTAGAGTTTTTTCTTAACACTCAGAACAAAAGTTTGAATGGGATTAGATTGGGGATGGGAGCACAATTTATATAGAAATGGGTGTTTTTTGGGGGGGGGGGGGGGGGCTCTTCCTGAAATTTTTTTCCTTGAAGTTCTTCACCTGTAAACTATTCATTGTTTTTGTTGCATACTAGGTAATCTTTAAATGCCCTTATTTGGGGACCTTAAAAATTCATCTGCTTCACCTATTTATTCATTAAATTTTGAAGGCCCTTTTCTGTGTAAGATACTATACATTTTTCTGTATAATTTACCACATTGTGAATAGGCAGATGAATCTGAAAAGATCCTAAATTTGAATCTAGTACAACAGTTGATTAGCTCTGTGATTCTGAAGAGATGGTTTGTATCATTTGAAACCTATAAAATTCTGGATAACTATAAATATTAGGAAGAAAAGAATAGCATAAACAGCCAAAGGAGAGATAATTTAGGGTAATATAGGATTGGAATTTATAGGATTAAAACATAGCATCCTTCTACTGAATCAGGGGGAGGATCAATATAACAGATTTTTATAAAAGTAGAATCAACATTCCAACATATTTATTTGGTTATATGACAGAAAATGAGCTGGGAGCTAAAGATTCAGAGTTAAGAATGGTGGGAGCCTAGCTTCAGAACTTAAAGTCTGCTTGGGTGTAAGGGACAGGCAGTGGGTGAAGTTAAAGAAGATTACCAAATTTTAAGCCTGAGTGATAGGGAAGATGATGGTATAGTAAAACAAAGGACCATGTTTGGGAGATAATAGCTTATTAAATATTGTACATGTTGAGAATACGTGTACATGTTGAGGTCCCAGGACATCGATGATATCAGCCAAGCATTTAAAAACATGGGTCTAAAGCTTATTCCTGCATGCATGGTTTGGAAATCAAATAAAAATTGGATAACTTGCCAAAAAAGAGAGAAGACAGAGAAAATAAAAAAGAACCAAGGAGGATGAATGTATGTATTTAAGGGTAGAAGGAAGTAAGAGGGATCGGAGAGCTTAAAAAAATACAACTACAATTATACATGGAACCCAAGTATTAAGATTATTTCAAGGAAAATAATCATTATCTAAGTCCAGTGCTGAGGAGAAGTCAAAGGAAGTGACAATTAGATAAGGCCACTGGATTTGTTAACTAAGCCATCGTTAGTGACCTTTAAGGAAACACACTCACTGGACTTAGGGGAGTGTAAACCAGATTGTGAGAGGTAAAGGAGAGAATAGATGGTAAGAAAGGAGAGGTAGCAATTTTAGACTACTTTTTAAAATATATGATCATTAAGGGAAAGAAGGAAAATAGTATGTATATAAATACGAATTTCTATTAGTAATTCTCTGATTAAAATCCAAAAAAATGAAGATTTTAGAAAAATAGAGCCTAACAAGAATCAAATAAAACTTCTTTGCTCTGATATTATTTCAGCATTGCTAAAATATCAGTTATATATAATGGCATCATGTATTCATTTGTGAAGTACTTTAGGGTTCATTCCTATAAGAATTTTATGCTCAATGAAACCCACAGATACTTTCCTAAATAAGAAATTTCTACATTAAAAAATTTGATTCTGTGAGGTTTTTTTAAATATTCTTTTTTTAATAATTCTTTCAGATTATTAACCCTGAACACTTTCAGGTTAGTGTAAATAGGGTTGGTTATAGCCACTGATCACTGTTAGATTACACGTTCATTTCCTTAGGCTATATTTTCATTTCCAATTCTCCTTGGACCTTTTCCCCAAGATTAATAAGCTTATCAGTCAAGTATTAAATAACTATAATTACTTACCTTTTACATTTTCTAATCTTATTCTTGGACTTATTTTGAATAACTTTGGAGACCTTTGCAAATGGAAAGCCATACTTCATTTCAGTTCACTCGAAAGTCTCTCTGATGATCTTGACTTAAAGTTTTTCCTTCATACCACAAGTGACAGGTTGATTCAAGTGATGATCTGTGTGTAAAGAAAAAAATCTAGCAAGAGACAGTCTAAAATTTTGCTTTTGGACAGTTTCATCCCCAAGTAGTAGAGAGCCAAAGAGCTCAGTGTCATATTTTTTAACATTTTCCCAGATTTTTACTTAACTTCTCTGTACCATTTACTAATCTGTAAAGTGAGAATAATATTACCTCTCTCATAGGGTTATTTTGAGGATTAAATAACTAAAACTATATAAAACACTAAGAATAATGCCTGACACATAGTAAATTCTCAGTAAATGTTTCATATCCATTCTTAGTTATAAATTAAATATTCTTAACATCTTCTATTCTTCCTTCTAATAATTCTTTTTCTTAAGGTTAAATGATAGTGAAATTGAACGACAGCATTTTAAGGACCAAGATATGTATTCTGATAAATCTGATAAAGAAAATGATCAAGAGCATGATGAGTCTGACAATGAGGTGATGGGGAAAAGTGAAGAAAGTGACACAGACACATCAGAAAGACAAGATGACTCATATATAGAACTTGAACCTGTTGAGCCTTTAAAGGAGACCACTTACAGTGAACAGAGTCATG